GAGTGGAAGATGGGAGGGATCAGCAAAGAAACCTACCTTATTGAGGTCAGAGCATGTAGAGATGGAGTGAGAAAGGCCAAAAGCCGTGTAGAGTTGGACCTTGCGAGGGAAATTAAAACCAATAGTAAGAGGTTTTATAGCCATATAAATAGGAAGAAAACAAAGAAAGAAGAAGTGGGACCGCTTAAGACTGTAGATGGAGTGGAGATTAAGGATAATCTAGGCATGGCACAATATCTAAACGAATATTTTGCATCGGTCTTTAATGAGGCTAATGAAGGACTCAGGAATAGTGGCAGCATGACGGATGGGAATGAGGGGGGGGGGGGTTGACATTACCGTATCCGAGGTAGAAGCCAAACTCAAACAGCTTAACGGGACTAAATCGGGCGGACCGGATGATCTTCATCCGAGAATATTAAAGGAACTGGCGCGAGAAATTGCAAGCCCGTTAGCGATAATTTTTAATGAATCGGTAAACTCGAGGGTGGTACCATTGGACTGGAGAATAGCTAATGTGGTTCCTATTTTCAAGAAGGGGAAAAAAAGTGACCCGGGTAACTACAGGCCTGTTAGTTTAACGTCTGTAATATGCAAGGTCTTGGAAAAAATTTTGAAGGAGAAAGTAGTTAAGGACCTTGAGGTCAATGGCAATTGGGACAAATTACAACACAGTTTTACGAAAGGTAGATCGTGCCAAACCAACCTGATCTTCTTTGAGAAAGAGACAGATTTTTTTAGATAAAGGAAATGCGGTGGATCTAATATACCTCGATTTCAGTAAAGCGTTTGATACGGTACCGCATGAGAATTGGAAAAGATGGGGATCGATATGAAAATCCAGAGGTGGATAAAGAACTGGTTAAAGGGGAGACTTCAGCGGGTCGTACTGAAAGGTGAACTGTCAGGTTGGAGGGAGGTTACCAGTGGAGTTCCTCAAGGTTTGGTTTTGGGTCCGATTTTATTTAATCTATTTATTACTGACCTCGGAACCGAATGTAGGAGTGGGCTGATAAAGTTTGCGGATGATACAAAGTTGGGAGGTATTGCCAATTCGGAGAAGGATCGGGATATCCTGCAGGGAGATTTGGATGACATTGTAAACTGGAGTAATAGTAATAGGATGAAATTTAATAGTGAGAAGTGTAATGTGATGCATTTAGGGATGACTAACAAGAATTTTAGTTATAAGCTGGGGACGCATCGGTTGGAAGTAACGGAAGAGGAGAAGGACCTCGGAGTCCTGGTTGATCGCAGGAGGACTATGAGTCGGCAATGTGACGTGGCCGTGAAAAAAGCTAATGCGGTCCTGGGATGCATTAGGCGAGGTATTTCTAGTAGGGATAAGGAGGTGCTGCTTCCGTTATACAAGGCACTAGTGAGACCTCATTTGGAGTACTGTGTGCAGTTCTGGTCTCCCATGTTTAAAAAGGATGAATACAAACTGGAACGGGTACAGAGAAGGGCCACTAGGATGATCCAAGGAATGGAAAACCTGTCGTATGAAAGGAGACTCGAGGAGCTCGGTTTGTTTACCTTAACCAAAAGAAGGCTGAGGGGGGGATATGATTGCTCTCTTTAAATATATCAGAGGGATAAATACCAGGGAGGGAGAGGAATTATTTCAGCTCAGTACTAATGTGGATACGAGAACAAATGGATATAAACTGGCCGTCGGGAAGTTTAGGCTTGAAATTAGACGAAGGTTTCTAACCATCAGAGGGGTGAAGTTCTGGAACAGCCTTCCGAGGGAAACAGTGGGGGCGAAAGACCTCTCTGGCTTTAAGATTAAGCTTGATAAGTTTATGGAGGGGATGGTTTGATGGGATAACATGATTTTAGTCAATAGGTCAATAACGTGCCATCGCTGGTAATTAGTAACAATGGTCAATGATGGGATATTAAAAGTTACTACAGAGAACTTTTTTCCGGAGGGTCTGGCTGGAGAATCTTGCTCGCATGCTCAGGGTTCAGCTGATCGCCATATTTGGGGTCAGGAAGGAATTTTCCTCCAGGGTAGATTGGCAGAGACCCTGGAGGTTTTTCGCCTTCCTCCGCAGGATGGGGCAGGGGTCGCTTGCTGGAGGATTCTCTGCGACTTGAAGTCTTTAAATCATGATTTGGGGACTTCAACAGCTGAGTCAAGGGAGAGAATTATTCCAGGAGTGGGTGGGTCAGCTTTTGTGGCCTGCATCATGCGGGAGGTCAGACTAGATGATCATAATGGTCCCTTCTGACCTTAAAGTCTATAGGGCTGGGAACGATACCAAGGGACTGGAGTCCTAGAACAATAAGGCTCAGGTTGTGAATTGTGCCTCTGGGGCTCTTCAAGTCATTGGTCTGGATCAGTTTGAAGGAAATCCCTTTCTGAAGAGGCAACTATCCCAACTCCTCTTTGACAAGGTCCCTCACCAAAGACTCTTAAGCAAAGTAAGCAGTCATGGGATGAGAGGGGAGGTCCTCTCATGGAGCAGTAACTGGTTACATGATAGGAATCCATGGTCAGTTTTCAGACTGGAAAGAGGTAAATAGAGTCCTCCAGGGATCTCTGTTAGGACCAGTGCTGTTCAATATATTCATAAGTGAAGTGGAAAAAGGGGTAAACAGTTAGGTGGTAAAATTTACAGACCAGTACAAAAATTACTCAAGATATTTAAGCCCAAAGCATACTGCGAAGAGTTACAAAGAGATCTCAGAAAACTGGGAGACTGGGCAACAAAACAGCAGATGAAACTCAATGTTGATAAAAGCAAATGCACATTGGAAAACATAATCCCAACTATACATACAATATATTGGGATCTGAATTAGCTGTTACCACCCAAGAAAGATCTTGGAGTCATTGTGGATAGTTCTTTGAAAACATCCACTCAATATTCAGCAGCAGTCAAAAAAGCTAACCGAATATTAGGAACCATGAGCAAAGGGATAGATAATAAGACTGTAAATATCATAATGACACTATATTAATCTCTGGTACACCCATACTTTGAATACTGCATGCAGTTCTGGTTGCCCATCCCAAAAAAAGAAGATGTATTGTATTGGAAAAGGTACAGAGAAGACAACAAAAATGATTAAGGGCATGGAACAGCTTCCATACAAGGAAAGATTAAAAAGACTGGGACTGTTCAGCTTGGAAAAGAGACAACTAAGGGGGGATATTATAGAGGTCTATAAAATCATGAATGGTGTGAAGAAGTGAATAAGGAAGTGTTATTTACCCCTTCACATTACACAAGAACCAGGGGTCACCCGATGATGTTAATAGGCAGCAGGTTTAGACAATCATAAGGAAGTACATCTTCAAACAATGTACGGTCAACCTGTAGAACTCATTGCCATGGGATGTGGTGAAGCATAACTGGGTTCAAAAAAGAACTAGAGAAGTTCCTGGAGGATATGATCCATCAATGGTTATTAGTCAAGATGATCAGGGATGTAATGCGATGCTCTGGGTGTCCTTAGCCTCTGACTGCCAGAAGCTTGGAATGGATGACGGGATGGATCAGTCAAATATTGCCCTGTTCTGTTCTTTCCCTCTGGAACAGGCCACTGCTGGAAGACAGGATACTAGGCTAGATGGACCATTGGTCTGACAGAGTATAGCTGTTCTTATGTAACCCATCCAGAGTCAGCCCAGACTGTCGATACTAAGCCAGGAGGCTAAGAGCAAAGAGGGCTGACTGCAGTGGGAGCAGCCCACCACACACAGTACTGCAACCCCATGTAATGTTGTGCTGCATGTGCTTGGAGCCAGGTTCTGGTGTTGCGAGGGCTCTCAGTAGTACTGCACGGGTCAGGGGGAGGAGTTTCCTCAATTCCAGAGGCTGGCAATATGGTAACCAGAGCACTCAACTGACCTGCCTGCTTCATCCCAATTGGAAAACACATGACCTCCCCCAACCCCAGTCCTTCCATTGCCCCATCAGAATCCAGCCTCCACAGCAGGCCAGCTCCTGCCATTAGCATTACTATCAGAGTGGCAGTGGTTGTCTGGGGACAGAAGTGGCAACAGGACTCCAGGGAGATACATTAGTGTTAAATACGCCTATTACTCCCCAAGTTCTACAGGTAGCTAAGAAAGACAATCCAGTGTCATAAGCCCTTCACCTCCCAAATTCTACGTGCCCCCATTCCCAACCCTGAACTGCCATGCCATGCCCACCACACTGTCAGTTCTTGGCCAGCGTTCATAGCCAGAGCCGACAGGGCCACGGGAATCCTGCCAGGCAGGCCCTTCAGCTCCCAGAAAACACTGCACCCAAGGAAATCAATTTTGGAAGCAACCCCGAAACCCTCTGCTCCCAACGAGCACAAGGCAGGTGAGGAGTTCCAGGATGCAGTGGCATTAGCCATCATATTGTAAGGAGAGACTGTTAGTGCAGGCCCTTAGAGACAGCCCCTTATCCACCCAGAGCATGAGAAGTATCTGCAGAGACTACCTTCCTATAGGCACTCCCTGAGCTTACACAGCCCATCCCCACCTGCCATGCCCTCTCCTACACAACAGGCATTGACTTGGAACTAGTCTTTAAACAGCTTTGCCGTACCGCTGCTTTTGGCACCCCATGACTGGCGGAGAACTGGCATTCCAGCCGTCTGCACTGAAAGGAATCTGTAGGGCCACTGCAGCTAGGCACAGCTCTCTCAGAGGAGCTGCCACAACAGAACTGAACATCTGGTCTGGAATCCTGTCACTCATGCTCACCAAAGCCAGCAGCTTCAGGAAGCATAAAACCCACATAACCCACTACCACTTGGGATACAGGGCAAGTGTTTCCTGATGCCGACTGGGGGTTGATCTAATACCCTGGACCATGAAGGCCAAGTGCCCTTGCCATTTCTGTCTAGCTAGGCGTCACAGAAGATGCCCTTCCATCGATCCAACAGACCAATCCTGCTTCAGAATCTCTTTGCCTTCAATGTCTCACAGAAGCAAGCTCCCCAAGTCAGTTATGCACCAGGTAGCATCTTTCTACCTGGCTATGCGCCCTCACCTCTGCGGGACAGCCGGGTGTCTGCGTCCGTGTCCACAAACAGCTTCATCCGGAAGAGATCCCGGACCTCCTGGGTGTAAAAGGCCAGGATGCCCTCGAAGAGGACCACGTCAGCTGGGTACACAGTTACCGTCTCCTCCTTCCTGCCATGCACGAGAAAGGCATGTCAGAACAAGAGGCAGTGCAAGAGGAAGAGCTGCCCTGATGGGAGGAGTGTTGGGGCTGGTGGCTTCTTGACCCAGCTTTCCCCACTCCACCCCATCCCACTATGGCAAAGCTTAACCAGGGAATCCAAAAGCTATGGACACTCTTCCCTAAAACATGGTGAAAGGAGGGAGCAGGCTAGACCTTCCCCCTCGCTGCCACCACCATGTGCACGTCTATCTCCCTCAGGCAGCTGCTGCATGCAAGAGTCAAACTAATTAATCATGCTCAGGGACCCACCCACAGGAACTTTACAGACATCCCTTCGAGTTTCTCCAGCGGAGGAGGCAGGTGTCCTGCAGACAACAGCTCCATTTGCCATGCAACCCTGCTGCATTCCCCGAGCACTTTATGAAGCAGAGGTCCTGTGGGAAATAGCACGTGATTGTACCGTAACACAGAGTTTAGGTTGAGTGGATAACCTACATTCTGGCATTTTTTTATTTGAGTGCTTGATTTTGTAACCTAGGGTGTTTTTGGGGTGGGCTATTCAGCTCAAGCATTTGGGTGATATAAAGCGCATACAAGAGCTGGCAAAATAAAGATACCTTCTCCAGAAATAGCCCATATTGGTAGTTTCTGCTCAAGAGATCATTGCCTGGGGTGTCAGGGGAGGGAGGGTGCTGCAAATGAGGATGGGCAGAGCTGTATCCCATTCTCCCGAATCAGAGCAGCAGGTGCAGAGCAAGGCAGGAGTAGTGTCTTACCTGGAATGGGAAACAAAGTCATAGACAGGAATCTGGACTGTCTTCCCTTCCATGATCTCTTTGAGCGTTTTGACGATGAGCTCGTTGTCAAAGGCATCTAAGGAGAGACAAGCTGTTATGAAGGCTGCCTGCCAACCTCTGCCTCCATACATCCTGGTATTTCAACCTAGACAGAGTCCCGGCTAAGCTAGACATGGAGGAGCGCAGGCAGGCAGATTCATGCTGCCTCAAGGCCTGAGTGCTATTGGGCCAGATCCCAGCTGTTGGAAAGAGGCAGAACTCCACTGAAATCAGTGGGGCTATGCTGCTTTACACCAGCTGAGGATCCAGCCCTGGAAGATCAATACAATCTTTGTACTGATTTTGTTTAAAGCCAAGACTAAAGAGTGAATCTCCTCCCGAACCTCAGCCCCTCAAAGACTAGAGCGGCCTTTTATCCCTGAACAGCTCCCTCCCACAGCTTCACAGAAAGGGCTCTGTTAGCAAGGCAGCCCGCTGCCCAAGGCAGCTGGGTTTTGGGTGAGGCGGTTCTGGAATTTCCCACCAGCCCATTAAGCAGTTGAAAGAATCTCTGTTGTAGTAACAGGAATTGGGTTTCCTTTGTATTTAGCCCTAGTTTGTTTTCGGGATAGATCCTGCTCAGTAGGGTACCTTCCAGGAGCGGAGGGCTTAGGGGAAATCAAGCACCAGTTTGAGATACTCCCCTGCCCCACCATCATTACATGCCAATCAGTGATCTGCCTGGAAAGGGCAGAAGGCTGAGTCAGCTCTACTAGCACCTTCTTGGAGTTGGGGTAAGTCTTAAAATTCCAGCCTTTAAGGAGATGTTTTAACCCTACTCTCCTTGGGCAGAGTGTTCCCTCTGGCTGGGCAGTGCGCTGAGCACGTCAACCCACAGGCAGCTGCTTTTCAGTGGTGCGGTTTGCATAGAGTCTGTAGAGCGCTTTAGGATCTTCAGGATGAAACCGGCTGTAGAAGTGCAAATAATGTTATAGGATGGTGCAGCCATCTCTTGGGATAAGGACAAGACCCAGGTTCACTTCACTAGGAACCTAACCAGGATATGACAGCCGGTCCCAAGCAAGCCAGTGCACTGCATCACTACCCGTCCACCCCACATTAATGCAGTGGAGCAAGAAGCTGGGTCCCCGGCATTACCAAGAGGTTCTGTGCCAGTGGAATTAAAGGAACGACTCAGATCAGGAGAGGTGTCACTGAAGCCCTACACAGCCCAACACCTCCTCCCAAGGATCAGGCTCCATTCACCTGGGTGGTCAAAGTTGAACTGGCCCTTGAGTGCCTTGGACTTCTGCTCAGAGGTAAGGACCCGATAGAAGCTGTCTTGACTCAGTATCACCACCTGCTTCTGGCGATAATCCACTTCATTCTGGCCCAGTAGCTGGACGATTCTGGCGCAGACTGATGACTTCAGGCGATGTAGCAAGGGGGAAAATGAAAGAAGAGAGTCTGATGCAAATGGAGACTACTCTGAGCAGGAGACTTGCAGACTGAGGAGAAGCCTGCCTTGGGTGGCAGGGAGCAGGAGGCTGCAAGCTCAGGCGGGAGACATTCCCATCCTCATCTGATGCTTTGCTCCTCAGCCAAGGAGCAGAGAGCTCATCTGTCCTCTTGAGACATCCCAAAGCCATCTGAGTGCTGCCCCTGGATCCTTTTCTAAGGCCATTGTTTTATGGCTTATTGCTCATTTATTTAGCTAATAGGTGTGAATCCACCTGCCCTCTCATTCCCCCTTGCGCCTTCTAGCTGCTGGGAGGGAGAAGGGGTACTCTCTCTCTGCGTCCCAGACCTGTACTCCCAACCAGCTCAAAACCTCCTAGCTGCCCTGAGTCTCCACTATCCTACTCTTCCTCCAGCCTGTCTTGTCTCTCATTCTAGGAGTAGCTCCAGGGGCCACTCTGAGCTTTCCCTAGGCAGCAGCATGAACCAACCTGATCCAGGTCACTTGCACTGCTTCCCACGGGGTTCCCATTAGCAGCAGTGACAGCCAATGTGACTCAGGGTCTGCCCTCACTAAAGAGCAGCTGAGGAGGCCTACAAGGAGCAGCAGAGGCTCAGGAGCTGCACTCAAACTGGCTCCAAGAGTGGTGTTTGTGGGACAAAAGCCAACAAGCTCTATTCTCCCCTCACTCACACAGGGAAGTCCTGCTGAATTCTGTTACGCCAGCGAGGGGAGAAATCAGGCTCTCATTGGGGAAAAAAAAATCTCTACAGAAGTTTGTTTTAACACTCTAAATAAAGCCCAATAGAAAGTAGCTGATTCTGCACCAGCCAGAAAACACGAGGGCCTTTCTCTGAGAGCAAGCAGGGCTCGGAGGAGCAGCAGAAAGCACATCCTGGTGCCTCTTGGCACAGAGGCTAAGGGAGCTGTTGAATGAGCAGCTCAGTCCATGGCTCTGGCTGACATCTCACACCTTCACACCGACAGAGGGAGCAGACCAGAACGAAGAGCCATGGAGCTGGGGATGGGTTTCAGGGAGGAGCTGCTGGGGATCCCAACTTGCTCTGTAGGGAAGATGTCTGAAAAAAATCACCCTCTCGGGTGCCCAAGCTCAGGTTGTTTGGATTGGAGATTAAGCTAGTCTGGGGAGGGTCCCAGCAGCTGGGGGAGTAGACATGTGGCTGGTGGAAGCCATCCCCAGCTCCATCCCTACCACTGTTTCCCAACTGACTCATCAGGGAGGCAAGTGGCACGGGAGCGTCGGAATAGAGGAAAGTAAGGAGGTGGCAGAGTATGGGTGTAGAGAGGAGCAGCTTTACTCCAAACAGGTTTGGAGATTTAAAACTGAACTAACAGGACAGAGAGGAGAGCTGCATTGGACCCCATCATACATGCACTGAAGTCCCTGTTAGCTGCAGCGGCAAAGCACCTCTGGGAAAAGCGAGGGAGCCCCTAACTTTAAGTTGTGGCCTCAGTCCCATACAGCAGCACTTGGCTGTGTCACTAGCAGGCTGCCTCACTGGAGTCCTGACCAGTTTGAACTTAGATTAGTTACAGAAAGTGGGCAGATGCCTGCAAAACTTCACCTGTTTAGGCAGCCACATAACCATACTAGTGCTTGCCTAAGGCAGTTAGCTGGGTACCTAATCCACAATGTACCAACACACTGCATTGGCTTGCAGGCCTCAGAGGAACAATCAGGAGCTATTGCTCCACTCCTCCCACTACTGACTCAGCTAGCCTCCTAGTTTGCCAGCAGACATTCCCTTCTCTCCTCCTCAGACGGACCTCCCTCCCCCCCATTTCCATCCCTAAGCCACAAATAATGCCCCTGCTTCCAGCTATACACTCTGTGAGCCAGAAATCCCGCCCTAGAGTGCCAGCTGGAAATGCCAGTTGGATCACCAGCTCCAAGTGCTTTAAAGCAGCAAAGAGGGGTATTAGTGGAGCTTCTCAGCACTAACATACACCCCTAAAAATGCCCGTGGCCATGCTGCAGCCTACACCCTCTCATCCCCTCCATTAAGTCAGATGTTCCACAGTTGGATTGTTGGCTCAGGAGGTGGAGTTGAAGCCAGGGGCATCATCAGAGGCCAATGGGAGGAAAGTCTGTGGGGGTGGGTGGGTAGGGGGGACCTTCACCTGGAGAACAGATGAGCAGATTTGACAGCCCCATGTCCCTTCCCCCTCCAAGCCCAGATGGGCTCCTTCTGCTATGAGCAGTGCACTATGGACCAGTGCTTGGAGGACTCTCTAGCCACAGGAGCTGTACAGAGTGAACGGATAAACAGCTTATAACTGGTTCAGCTCTAGAGACGTGGGCTGTTTGAACTGTTCTGTGGATAGCTCAGCCCTCACCTCATCAGAGTCCAGGGGCTGGCGGAGCTAACGTTCTCACCAGCCTCTGTCCTGCAGAGCTCTAATTCACTAGTCACCTCTGCAGCAGGGGGCCTGACAAGAAGCCAGGATAGGAGTCACCACTTAAGTTTCTGAAGCTCAGCCTCCCTGTATATAGATAGAGCTAATTTCTGGAGTTCCCCAGAGCTCAGCTAGAACAGCAGCATTTAGGAAACTTCAGGTTTTGTGTTTTTATTATGAAAAGTAAAAAAATTCAGGCTTGGGGGGAGAAATCTAATAAGAGAGTAGCTAATTTAATTGGGGCTGGGGGTTGAGAGAGCACACAGGCAGCTATGCAACCTACTCCCACCTCACTTAATGATTCTGTTGGCCAATGGTGCTTTATAGGTGGGATGTGGCTTCCCTTCCTGACCTCTGCAATGGACAGCTGACACCCAGAAGCAGGATATTTAATTCCTGTAGATCTTATCAATGGATATTCACTTATCCAGACTCTCTCATTGAAAACAGAATTCAACTAGAGCCTCTGACCCTGCAAGCATCCCACACTGTGGGACAGAGTGTTTCCTGACTCCAACCATCACCAGTTACTTGCCATCACCGCTCCTTTGTTTTCCCATTCCTTGCCTCCTTCCCCAGCACTGTTTCAACATCCCACTCTGGCTTATCAAGCTGTATCCCACTGCTTTCATAAACACTTGCCACACAGATCATCACCCCTCCACCTTCTCTTCCTGTTCTCTCTCTCCTAGTTAGATTGCTGCCCATCAATATTGACATTCCAACTCTGAGAATCACTCTGTCGGGAGTCAGCAATATGCTATGGGCAGAGCCATCAGCCAGCAACCCCTTCGGGTTCTTCTTGCAACTTTCCCATGGCCTTTCCATTTGTGAATTAGCCCTCTGTCTCACACAGGGGCAGAGCCTCAGCTGGCGTCAGGCAGTGTAGCTCCATTGTAGTCAGACTATTTGCCCAGCTGATGCAGGAGGGGAGATAGGGTTCCCATAGTTGGAGTCAGACAAAGGAAGAAAGTTCCAGGCTCAGTTAAGCTAAAGCTCCTTATCTCCCCACTCCAGGAAGTGAGAGAGAATTGATGTCACACAGAGGAACACTGGGCGGTAACTTCTGGCCTCTCTAAGTTCAAGCAATAATTGGCTCTTGCCAGGCCTGCTGATCCTACAGAACATGGTAAGGCATATAGGGAATGGCATCTTTGAGGGTCCATCTGTACAGCTATGCTCTGGCACTGGAAGTGGAGGAGTTCTGGGAACATGTTGGTCAGACGCTCTCCATCTCTCCCTCTAGTGGGATTATTCTCCCCCTTTGCAATCAGCTCACTAGGCACCCCATGCATTCAGCAGCATGAAGTTAAACACTAGTTGTGAAGTGTGGCCCGTGACTGAGCTAGCCACGCCTCCACCTTTATTATCGTTTAGAAGATTGAGGGTGGAATGCGGGGCCCACCCCCACACCCATTTCTCTTCAACTGACCCTTTAAGGGTGAAGATCAGAGCACATACAAGCTGCGTTTGCCTTCCAGCAGCCTGCTTCTATCAGGCACCAGAAGGGATGGCTGCACAGTGTGGGCTCGGGAGCCTATTTCATTTTTCTTAATGAATTTTAAGGGCTGTCAGAAACAATGGGGGAGGCATCCACGAGGATTTCCTGCTCTCTAGCCAGGAAAGACAGACACAGATGCTACCCTCCAGCTCCAACTACTGCAGCAAGGCACACACTGCTAGCTGGCCACGTTCAAAATCCACATTTGGATTCATGTGCCAGGAAGCTGTGGCTACTCAGTACCTCTGAGCAAAACAAAGCCACAGTTGAGGGCCCCAATTTTACTCACCCATATTTGAGTAGTCTTAAATTACACCTCAGTTTCCCGATCTGTACAATGGGGATAGTCCTGACCTACCACACAGAAATATAGGAGTTGCAGCATGTAATGAATATTTGTAACATCTTGCCCAAACCCTAAAACTCATCAGAAGGGGCATACAACCCTTGAGTGCCCTGGGACCAAGCTGCCCCCAGAACCAGAGTTTATTTTGACAGATGTTCCTTGGCAAAGTCTTTTCTAAACAGTGGCATCTATGTACAGACCTCAGCACAGGCAACTGGGCTCCAATTCTGCAGCTGGAGGGGAGAGGGATAAGCCAGTTAAATGTACGGTCCATTCCAAACACTCCCTCCTCCCCCCCCATCCCACCCAGTAACCCTGCCTAAAAATCTTCCAACCCAACACTTCTGTGATCATGCCCCACAAGACATTGAGCCAGCCGGAAGGGACTCAAGAGGTCATCAAGTCCAGCCCTCTATGCTGAAGCAGTCTGCCTAGATCCTCTCTAACAGGGTGTTTGTCTAACCTGTTCTTAGAAACCTCCCATGCTGGGGATTACACAGCCTCCCTTGGAAGCCTGTTCCAGAGCTTAACTACCCGATAGTTAGAAAGTTTTTCCTAATATCTAACCTAAATCTCCCTTGCTGCAGATTAAGCTTAATTGGGCTCAGACTTGAGCCCTGGGGTGGTTGGGTGGCAGAGACTTGTGGAGTCTGGCTGCAAACTAGGGCTCCAGCCCTGGGGCTTCAGACTCCAAGCCCTGGCCACGCAGCAGCAGGCTCCAATCCCTGGCTCTGGCCATGTGGTGCTGACCCCTAATCCCACCAGCAGCCGCTGGCCCCAGGCACTGACCCCTGTCTGTGCACTCTGACCCCCAGCCCTAGTCACTGACTCTGGGTGCGGGCTCCAGGCGCTGACCTTGAGCTCCAGAGGCTGCCAGCCTTGGGTGCAGATGCCCAGCGCTGGACTTGGGCTCTGGCAGGTGCTGTCTCTGGATGCCGACCCCTAGCCCTGGGGCAGCAGGCACAGACCTCAAGCGCCAGCCCCAAACTCAGCATCAGCCAATCCCCGGCCGTGCGCTCTGACCCCCAGCCCTGGCTGTCGACCCTGGGTTCCGGCAGGTGCTGGCCCTGGGCACCCATCCCCAGACACCAGCCCCGAGTGCAGATCCCCAGCCCCGGTCACGCAGCAGCAGGCACCAACCCCAGGCTCTGGCAGGTGCTGGCCTTAGACACCGACCTCCAGTCCTGGTCGTGCAGCAGCAGGCTTTGGCGGGTGCTGGCCCAGGACAGACTCCTAGCCCTGGCTGTGCAGCAGCAGCTGGCACAGACCCCAGGCGCCAACCCTGGGTGCCGACCCTCAGCCCCGGTCACACAGCAGCAGGTGCTGCCTCTGGGTGCCAACACCCAGCTGCGTGGCATTGGATGCCAATCCCTGGCCGCCAATCCCTGGCCCTAGCCACGCAACTGCGGGCATGAACTCTGGGTTCCAGTAGGTGCTGGCCCAGGGTGCTGATCCCCAGCCCCAGGCACCAACCCACACCTCTGACCATGCAGTGGCAGGGCCCCCCATCCATCGCCCCTGGCCTCTGCTGCCTCACCCCTCCATCCATCCTCCCTGGCCTCCGCCGCCTCACCCCCCACCCCTCCATCCAGGTCTTAGCTTGCCAGGACTTACTATAAAAAGTGATATTAACAAACATACAAATATCACTTTTCACAGCATTATTTTTATTATCGAGTCTGCAAAAAAACCCTACCTAAATAAATTACAATTATCTGGATGTATATACATGCATATTTATTTCTCCTAAAGTTAATTAAGTATTTTAGGAAAAAAGTGTCAGTGTGGCCACCAGCAAGAGTTTTACCCATCTCTGACTCAACAACAGCGGCAGGGCGGGCTTTTTTGCATGCGCGCCTTGCGAGGAAAGCATCCCCTGTTATCTTCACTCTGGTGTGTTGTCAACTGAGTGTGTTGCAACAGTCCACAGTTTTGCTGAGAGTTAGATGGATTTGCAGCTTTGGAATAGGAAAATATATCTGTCTCCCCCCTGCCACAATCCTCTCTGCTTCTAACCAGGGCCAGCACATGTGGACCTTAAGAACTGATAGTCAGCCATACTGCTAGCCACAGGACATTCAGGAAAGTTTACTTGCCCTGCTGCAGGGAACCCCTTGCCTGGGCTCAGTGTGGTGCATATCACCATAGATGTACAGCATTCTTTGTTCTTCCAAGGACCCATTTGCCTTCTATTATAGCAATCAAGACTATCACCAAAAATTGGAGGCCTTGCCAGGAACCAGCTGGGCAGATCCCTGTTGTCACAGCTGCATACACACCTTGCCTTACCTCTGCCACCAAGTACGTTCTCCCTTTGCTGCATCACGAGCCACATTAAACTATAATACACCAGTTTGGGATACTAGAAGCACAAGCACCAATAATCTCTTCCTGCTGCTTCTGCTTGAGCATAGCAAGTTAAGAATGGACTACAAGAGAGCTGGCTATGAAGTTTGCACTGATCTGTTGAGTTCCTTTTAAAGGGCAGCATTGCACAGTGTGTGTGTTTTGGCAGCAAGCAATCATTGCAGAGGGGAAATCAAAGCTGAGAAAGGAAAAGCCATCAGTACACCACCCTGACAATAAAGAACCTCTTCCCTGTTTTACAGGAGAGCCTACTACTGCTGCTAAGCATGTTTCACTTTGAAGCGGAGAACAACTGTGCCCTATTGGACTGTAATCCCTGGCCTTACCTTGTGGGTTCAATAAACTGCTCCGAGACAGCATTTCAGCAGCGACAGACACAATGTTACTGAGACAGCTATGCAGAGTTAGGCCCACACACAAAAGGCCTCACATGAGCCCAGAATACTTGAGTCACCAGAAAACATAGTGTAAGAACAATTCAGCGTTGGTTCCCAGATAGAGATTTCCACACACACTCTCCACCTTCTATGGGGATTTTTTCATTGGGGAGCAGGCACATGTGTGTTTTCAACAAGCGAGAGAACAGATAAAGGCCACCCCCATCACTGCAGTGAAGGCCTGGTGTTTTTTGGGGTTTTTTTTTTTTTTAAGTCATCTTTAGAAAAAACTGAGTGCACATAGCCCTATGCTCCTCCGGCTGCAGCCAGGCATTTAGTGCTCCCCGTAACGAAGAAGATCTCAGGTGCACTCCCACCTATGAACATGAGCGTGTTCACCTGGAATACTTTTTAAATGGACACCATATGCTGGAGGAAATTCCATCCCCCCTCTGAACAGAAAGACAAAATGTAGAGCAACCCTTTGCCGGGGTTTGCCTCTACTGGTAATTCAGACAACAAACTCACCATAAACTTCAGCCCAAGCTAACTCCCTAGAGTTTGGCAGTTCCTAGAGTTTTCGCCTAGCCCCAGTTCTGTGTCCAGAGGAACTCTCCTACACTGCCTTACACCCAGGGTGGAGTTAGAGAGTCACATCTGCCATTATGAGTCAGCATCTCCCAGTAGGATTCCAACACCTGCTACCAATCTGGGTCAACAAAACACCCCCATGCCCTCCCATCAGACACACATCTTTCTGAAAAATAATCTGTTACTCACTATCATTCTAATCAACACTTCAGATTACTGGAACAGTAAGGGATTAGAGAGGGGCAAATATTTGTCCTTTCCCTCCTCCATCCATGTTATTGTCTGTGTATAGCCAGTTTCACCGTTTCCCCTATTTGTCTGAGTCTTTCATACACATTAAATACATTCAAGGAAAGCACAATTGTAAAACCACTAAAGTTACCAGAGGACTCTGGGGATGGCGTAGTACACAGACAGAGTCACACACATAAAAACTAGTGTGCAATAATTACAGCTCCAGTCCTGCACTGAGCTAAAGAGGGCCAGAGCATGAGTCAAGTCAGGGGGTCCTGCTGGCTTTTGTGATCCTGTAAAGATCACAAAAGCCAGCAAGGGGGGGGGGGGGTCTGTAGACAGAATGAAACTGGTGTTGCTTTAAAGCTGTTATGCTCTTATGGATTACACTGACAAGTTTAATATTAGTGTGGAGAAGAAAGCGAGGATCTAAGCTCCTTTCTCTAAGAGACAGGTATAAAATCCTAGGACCAGCTTTTCTAGGAGTGCTTGTACGCATGGGCATAGACAACTGGGGGTCTGGGGAACTTCATTAATAACGAATAAAGAAAACAGTTCGGAATAGCTGCTCTTATCTCACTTTATTAAAAGTGGACAAGTTTAGTCATGGTAAAAATACTACTCAAGTTATATTCAACAGCTACTATTTTTTCAACTCTACCCTCTGATAAGAGAGTTGTCTGTGCCTCTAGTTTATATTTTCTTTCTCCCCAGTCTAGGAGCGCAGGTGCATCTCCAGTAGGAGCAGTTAACACAATGGCACAACTGCCACTTCCAAGCTCTCTCACAACAGCTCCTATTCGCCTGCTTCCAGGCAGGCTGACGGAACCCCAGTGATTCCGCCACATTACATAGCTTCGATCAGAGTCAGAGGAGGGGAAGCTAGACAGCCCCAGGAGGGACTGGGGAACAAGACACTTATCTGACCCCCATTCAGCCGAGCCATCCGTGCAGCACTGAGTCACCCCGGCACGGAGCAGCGTCACCACCAAGGCAGAAAGGGGGGGGGGGGAGAAGGAGCAAGGAGGTTGAAGGAGTTAGAAACGGGGTAACCGTTTAGAGAGATCTTTACAGGATCACAAAAGCCAGCAGGACCCATCTGTGCCGATCCCCCACCTCGGCACAACTGCCACACAGACACCTGCTCCCCCTGGGGCCGGAGCTGAGTGGCAGGGGTGTCAATCAGGAGGGCGCCCGCCAAAGCCGCTGAGTGCCACCTGCCCGGGGATCAGGCCTTTGTGTCTGGCAGAGAGAGAGAACACAGGGCAGGAAGCAGCCGCTTCGCGGAAAGCGGAGGCACCCACACAGCAGAGCCGAGCTCGCTCCCCAGGGCGGGCTGGCTGCGACCAGACAATGTGTTACAAAGCCGCGCTGCCAGTCAGCAGCCGCCCTGCCTCCCCGCAGCCCGCCGGAGCGGAGCAGTGCAGTGCAGGAGGGGGACCCGGGCGGCCTCCCTCCCACCCAACGCCTCGCTAGGAGCCGCACCCCATCGCGGCAACAACACGCCCCCCCCCTTCCCCGCGCACACGTGTTCTTACAGCCCGGAGGGGGCCGGGGGCTCTCCAGCAGGGTCTCGGCTAGCACCCAGCCGCCCACCCGCTACAGCAGCCGCCGCCATGTGTCCGCTGCGCTGGGCTCCCCATGCACCCACGCGGGGACCAGCCACCCCCGGCTCCGCGCTCCCCCGCTCACCTTGCCGCTGGCTGTGCCGCCGCTGACCCCGATCAGGAAGGGCTCCCCACCGCCAGGCTGCTCGTGCTCCTGCAGGCTCTGCTCACTATCCCCTGCCATGCTGCTGCCGCTGCTCAGTCTCCGGCTCACCAGGCGCCTTGGGGGGCTGGATTTATCTGATGAGTCAAGGAAAGGCCTTCCTCCCCGCCTGGTTCACATCCCCAGCGTGCGGCTCCCTGCCAGGTGCCTGCTACAGCTGCACATGCTCCCACCACCCGGGCTGATGCTTGGGTTTGCAAACTGGCTGGGGCTCTGGAGCCGCAGAGACCCAGCATCCATCCCCCTTCCGCCCACTGTCTCCTCCAGCTGTTGCTGAGGACGGAGGACAAAGCGAAACGTGTCCAGAAACGCCTCCTACAACACCTGTGCTCAGTTAACTCTCTCTAGCACCGAGGCCCTCTGCTCCAGATTGACCGCACTGTGAGTTGTGTTATGCCTCTAAATCTTCCAAATATCCTACTTCGCTCACTTCACCCCAGGGCTGGGCCCCTTTCATTTCCAGGGGAAGCTGCCCAGGGAGGACACCCTGATTTTACACTGAATGCATTTGACGAATTCATTCTCTTTACCCTAAATCAGTTCAGAGCAGCCCTTTTAGCTATGAATTTCCCCAAGCAATTTCCAGAGATTCAAATCAGCCTCCACTGGAATGCTACTTGGGTTGAACCACAGTATTGCTCATGATGGGAACTCAAATGTCATCCATCCTAGGTTCATCACCCTATCCCCCCCCACAGCCCTGATCCAAGCACTTATGTGCATAATGTATGCACTTAACTTTACACACATGAATAAACTTAAGCACGATCAGGACCCAAATTCTAGCACTGACCACTCAGGATACGAATTGTGAGAGAAGGAAGCACTGAGAGGAACTGGAGTCATCTGTTCATCAGTGCCATCTCTCCTGTCCCCACATCCCTGCAGAGTGTTTCTTGTAATGTCAGAGGGTCCCACCTCAGCACCAGTTGTGCTCTACTTCTGCTAGTGCCAAGTAAGGAAGTTCTATAGGCAGAGAAACAAATGAGAGATTCCTGCAATGGTGATTTCCAATGGGATTCCCATGACCCCATACCAACTTTAAAGCTGTGATTGGGGGCATAGTGCCAGGCACAAGGAACCATCAAAAGTTTGTAACAAACAATACAACAGTGCAACAGCACTTCAGTGCTCCGGGCATTATTTAGGCCCAGATCCTCAAAGGTATTTAAGAGCCTAGTTTCCATTGCTTTCAATGGAAATTAGGCACCTAAATACATTTGAGGTTCTGAGTCTTAGCTCCATTTCCCCCATTGTAGCCATCTCTGTAACTATGTCTAGTATCTTCAGGTCATTTTGCTCTCCTTGTGCCCACACAGACCTGCACCAAATTCTACCTTCTCTAAGGTCAGAGTTCAGTTTCTCTCCCAGATGCCCATCATTGAACTTCCTCACCTATTAGTATCCACAGTCCAATCCCTGTCTTAAAAGCAGGGATTTTTTGGCATATAAAAGAAATTGAGAAAACCATGAATAAAAAGATAGGATCCTGTCTTGTTAGGATACTATGAAAAACTAGGCCAAGCCAGCACAAAGCTTATGTTACAAAATACAGAAATATTACCTATGGCATATCAGAATAAAGGCTCTATCCCAGCCTAAAGTTATCTTTCAGTGTCCCCTTTGTCTTAAAAAAGTTGTATGTAAGCAAGGCCAGGTCTTCACTACAAACTTACATTGGTATAACTACGTCACTCAGGAGTGTGAAAAATCCACACCCCTGAGTAACGCAGTGATGCCTACCTAACCCCTGATGTAGACAGCACTATGTTGATGGGAGGGCTTCTCCCATCGACATAGCTACCACCTGTTGCGGAGGTGGATCAACTACACGGATGGGAGAAGCTGTACTGTTGGTATAGTAGCTGCAGCGTTTTAAGTGTAGACCTGCCCAGTATAACAAGAGCTCCTTCTTTCATAGAAAATATATATATTTCATAGAAAATATATATATATATTGTCTTTCCCCAAGAACTAAGATCCAAATCCTCAACGGTATTTAGGTACCTAACTCTCATTGAAATCAATGGAAGTTAGGTGCCTAAATACCTAGAGGATCTAGGACTAAACTCTTTGTAATGGAGATGCTAGGCAAGACACTACTTCAACTTTCAAAAACAGTCCAGAATGGTAAAATGCAAGTGAATCAAGTTCAGGTACCAGTTTGTGCTACATATAAAAAACAATACAATTTCCTATACACAGGCTAAAAGCTTACAAAGCTCACCTGTCAGTCTTATGGGACCCTAGTCAGCCAAAGTCTTTCCCACCCTTCCACAAGGTTTGGGCCCCTGTCGGACAGAAGGTCCTGTCTGTTTGCTGGATCAGAAAGAAGGCCCTGAGTCAGTTTAAATGCAGCCTTTTCATACCAAAAGCCCCTTCTTTGTCTATTGGTCTCTGGAAAACCCAGTTTGAACCATATATGCAAGCCTCTCCCAGGGGTGCTACCTCTTTGGAGATGTTACAATCTGAGCGATTCATCTTAATAACCCCCATTGTTTTCGGTTCCTGAAGGAGCCATGGTAACCTATCTGCGGTAGGTGTATACAATCCCTGGCCCACAGTAATACATAAGCTGTAATACAATATTACATAACTGTAATACAATATGGTCCCCAAAGATACTGCATGCAGTTGCAATATCTGTCACAAATTGATTTTTATGCTTCTCCGTCCCATTAAAGATTGTTATTTTGGATTATTTTTCCCCAGGTGTATTAGGTTGCATTTCTCCAATCTGAATCTCATTTTGTTGTTTTATACCCATGTGTCTAACCTCTCTACAAGTCTGATCCAAAGATCATTGAAGTCAACCAGTTTTTCCATTGACTTCAGTGAGTTTTGGATCAACCTTAAGTGAGTCAACAAGTCCAGTATCCTCCCTTTAGCAGTATCTTAGATTTCATAGGATGGCTCATAGTGCACCTTCCCACATGTGCAGTAATGAGGAGCGGAAGGAAGACCCATGAAGACTAACGATAAAGAGCAGGTAATGGAATATTTATAAAATTCAATCATAAAATATCAGCCAGTCTTGATTATCTGCATTGTTGAGTATTAATGGGATCAGCAAATGAACTGATTATACAGTTTTGAAAAATCTTGACAAATGGGGAGGTACTGAAAGACTGGATGAAAGTAAATGTAATAGCAGTGTTCAAAAAATGAAAGGATCCCTTAAATTTAATATTTATTCTTATGAGAATTATGGAACAAATATTAAGAGGAAAAAAACCTGAGCATTGTCAATAAACAGCTGGAGTTATAAAGCACAGATATTGCAAATCAAAAGGGGTCAATTGTGGCTTTGCACAAGCCCCACATATGGGCCCGTGCATTGTGTTACCCTACAAGCACATCAGGAAGCAGACTGTGACTGAGGAAGTCAAAATGGCCAAGACTCGAGATCCTCTAAGTATTTAACTGCCTGATTCCAATTGATTTCAATGGGAGTTAGGCATCTAATTACCTTTGAGGATATTGGCCAATGTGCCTACTAGTCCCCTCAGCTCCAGGTGGTGGTGGGGGGACATACCCTGCCCCAGCTTTATTCCTATACATCCCCCAACACTAAGCAGTGGTGCTAAGGTTGCTTATTCCCCATCTCTTCCTGCCCACGTGTGCAGAGGGAAGGTATAGCAGCCCCTTGAAAAGGAGAAGCTGATGCAGGGAAGCAAGGGAGTACTTTTTGCTCCCTTACTCCCTTTTGCAGGATGGGCCACAATCTGGCCTAAACTTTGATGCCTTTGTTTTGATAGTATTGTTACCCCTTTTGACATGAGTGGTTGGCCAAAGTTTGGGGCCCTGCAGGTTTTTTCCACTAGGATGGGCTCAGGTATTTCTCTGATGTAATCCAGTTTATTTACAAAGTATGTACAAAGTCATGTTTCCCAGACACAGCAGGAATCAAACAACAGCTTTGCTCACAGCTTCAAGATTCTTTTTGGCAGCACCCACCTTGAAAACTCTTTCTAGGCTTTTCTCAGGGCCACACACTGTGCTTGTCTGGACTCTGGAGCTTCCTTGCTGCCTTCTCTCTGCTTCTCTGGTGTTTCTCCCCGTTCCCTTCTCTCTCCCACACACATAACTCCACCAAACAATACCCAACAAGAACCCTCCGCCCACATCATTCTAAGTCCTGAGCAGACTCACATGTGTGTGCTTGTGTTCTGGTTTGAGGCCCCTATTGTTTCTAACATTTATTCTGAATGAAGGACTGCTGCTTCGTGCATCAGTTTCAATGATGTTCTGCCCAGCCCACAAGAGTATTAGGCCTGGTGTAGGCTTACAACTTAGGCCAACACAACTACAGTGCTCAGGGATGTGAAAAACCCATCACCTAACCCTCAATGTAGACGCAGTTAGGTGGATGGAAGAAAGCTTCCATTGTCCTACCTACCTTCGTTCAGGAAGGTTGAGTTCCTACAACGATGGAAAAATCCCTTCCATCGCTGCAGTTTGCATTTATGCTATGGGGTTACCGAGGCATAGCTATGGCACTGTAGCTATGTATGGCCTGGTCTACACTAAAAAGTTACATTGACCTAACTACGTACCTCAGGGATATGAAAAATCCACACCCTGAGCGACGTAGTTAAGCCGACTTAAACCCTAGTGTAGACAGCGCTAGGTCAACAGAAGAATTCTGTCAACCCAGCCTACCACCTCTCAGGGAAGTTGATTACCTATGCTGACGAGAGAACCCCTCCCATTGGTGTAGGGGGTAGTGTCAACACTGAAGCACTGCAGCTGTGCTGTTTCAAGTGTAGACAAGCCCTAGGCCACTAAAGCACCCATAATGTAGACATGGCCTTATTTAGGGCCAGATTCTGTTACCCTTACTCATGGTGTGAAGTACCAGACTCTGCAAGTAGTAGAAATGATTTCAGTGGGCCTATCACACAGCATGAATAAGGGTGGTGGAACCTCCAGACCCAAAGGGCTAGATTGTACTTTATGACACAGTCCTGGGCGAGGGTCAGTGCATAAACTGCATGACTCCAGAAGCAGCCTCAGGAGGAAAGGTGATTCCGAGATATCTCTTGGAAGCACCACTTTCTCTTGGTTCCCCTCTTGCACAAGAGTAGTAATCTACTAGTAGCCTATGCCAGAAGCCTTAGCCCTCCCTGGCTCAGATGTGTTGGCCAGCACGTGGGGAGGCAGACTCAAGGCTCCAATATTCCCTATTCTTCTCTGCCCACTCACTCCAAAGAATGAGTGAACGGGCACCACAGCACCTGTTTACTTTTGCACACTTAAGTTCCAGGTAGCTTCTGCAGGGTGAAAGGGGAGTCTCCCCCTCATGCCCCTGTGCTAGTGCATACTTCAAGTCACAATCTAGCCCAGGGGTAGGCAACCTATGGCACATGTGCCGAAGGCGGCACGTGAGCTGATTTTCAGTGGCACTCACACTGCCCGGGTCCTGGCTACCAGTCTGGGGGCCTCTGCATTTTAATTTAATTTTAAATGAAGCTTCTTAAACATTTTAAAAACCTTATTTACTTTACATACAACAATAGTTTAGTTATATATTATAGACTTATAGAAAGAGACCTTCTAAAAACATTAAGATGTATTATTGGCATGTGAAACCTTAAATCAGAGTGAATAAACGAAGACTCGGCACACCACTTCTGAAAGGTTGCCGACCCCTCTAGCCCATAGTTAGTGGATGAAGAAGATGCACTAATATTTGACTTTTACTAAAGCATGTGATACTGTCTTATGAATCACTCTTGAAATTACTTCAAATTGGCTTGAATAGGAACTCTGTCATGTGGACTGAAAACTGGCTGAAGGACCATAAACAAAGGGTAATAGCAATGTATTGAGCGATGGGGAGGATTTTAACAAGTCAGTGTTGGGTCCAGTCTTATTTAATACCCTCATTAATGATCTGGAGGAGAGAGTAAAGAAAATGATGTCACAGATGACACTGAGGTGGAAGGAACTGTGAATACCAGTGATCGCAGAGAAAATAATGAAAAGGAACCTAAGGTCTGAATCAAACCCCACTTAATCCACCTTGACATTGACTTCAGTGGCCTTTGGGTCAGGCCCTTAAAGAGGGTAAATATATAGAAATAAACCAACAACATGAGATTAAATTTAAAAAAAAAATGCAGACTAACACACCTGGGGAATAATAATCCAAAACCCTATCTAAAAGGAAGAAAAAAGTTGGAAAAAAGATAGAAGATAAAAGCAAATTAGATACAAGTTTGCAAAAGGACACAGCTGTAGAAAGGCCAGTAAAAATGCACAGGGTAATCATTTCACAGCAAGGTAAGCTACAGCTCTAATGTGATCATACCTGAAATAAAGTATTTTTTTGAAGAACAAATTACCAAGAAGATATTGACAAAACTGGAGGAAATTTAGAGAAATCAACAAAAATGACTAGGGAGCTGGAGGGATTGGTTCATAAGAAGAGGCATAAAGAAATAAGGTTATTCCATGGCCACTAAGAGAGAACTAAGGGGGATACGTGTAGAAGTAATGGGATGAAATTAGGAAAGAGAAAAATTATGCTGAAAGACTTTGCGGGAGTCTCTTAACAGAAGTCCGGGAAGCCACATTGTTCCGGACACTTAAAATTAGACTGTCCAATACAAAATGTAAGGTAGGCAAAAATCCCTCATTGAAGGACTATGTACTGGATATTTATCATCTATTTCTAAGACTGCATCACGGTGGAAACGTTTCCCTGATTTTCACCCACGATAATCCGGGGACTAATAAGGCATTCAGTCCTTGAGAAGGAAGCATGGGCCAATGGTTTGCTCCATACTCAGGAGACCTCTGATTTGCACGGGCTCCCTGGTGCAAGTCACGTAGCCCCTCTGTGCCTGGGTTCCCCATCTATTAAGCGAGATTAGTGACACTGGAAGGCGCTCAGCTGACGGGGGGCCATGCACGTACCTAAGGCAGCACTGGGCTCTCCTGGGTTGCGACAGCCCGGGGGCTCTCCGCACTGCCTGCCAGCGGGGCGGGTCCCAGGAAGCACCCACCCGCCAACAATGGCATCAGCGCGGGACGGGCTCCTCCAGACAGGGCTTTGGGGAGGACCCCCGCCTTTGCGAGAGGGGCTGCCCGGGGTTTATCTACAGCAGGGCCGGGGGGAGGGGAGGAGCTCGGCACTCGCCAGGGCCTGGCGCTGATAACACGTCGCGGGCGCAGGGCGGGGCTCGCAACACCGCTGCGAGCTGGGCCCGGCTCCGCACCCCCACAGGCTGAGGGGGAAGCCGCGGCCCGACCGGGCACTCAGACCAGCCTGGCGCTAGGGACGCTGGGGTCCGGCGCCCTCTGACCCACGAGCTGCGAAAAAAGCCCCATGAGGGGGAGGCTGGTTCCAGCTTGAGGGACTGAGCGGGCCCTGGCGCGAGGTGAATTTAACGTCACTATTGGCAGGCTACTCGCCCAACCAGCAGCTCTTCCCGCCCTTTACTTGTAGGCGGGATTTCCGCTTGGCGGTCGCCTTGTTGCCGGAAATCTGAGTAACATCACTTCCGGAGAGTAGAGCCAGTTGCTAGGCTGCTAGTCGGACCCTTTGTAGCTTCCGGTCTAGTCGTGTGTGCGCGGGAGTCTCTTCCGGGTTTGCGGGCACCATGAGCACTATGTTCGCCGATACTGTCCTCATCGTCTTCATCTCGGTGTGCACGGCGCTGCTGGCCGAGGGTAAGCGGGGTCGCGGCCTGCGCTGGGGTGGCCGGGCTGCCGGGCGGTCTCCTTGGCCCCCGGCGTGTTCCAGTAGGGAGAGGGCGCCGGCCAGGCGTAACCCGGTGAGCAGCCTCCGAGCCAGCCCCTTCCCGGTTCAGGAGCAGGCAGGCTGCGAGTGGGGCTCCGGGCGCTCAGAGGGGAGGGGCTCCTCTCTGGTCACCCAAAGAGCCCATAGTGGGGCTCCGGCCTGGGTCCCCGAGCGCGATAGCCCTGAGGCCAAGGGCCAGGCCTGGCTCTGCCACAGCGACCGTGGGTGACTCTGTGCCCCAGTTCGCCATTATCTGTGCAATGGGGGCAATAGCCCTTCGCGGGCGGTTGTGAGGAGAAATGCATTACAGGTTTTTAAGGGCTCTGGTGATGGGGACTGTGTACATATCGTGGCTGGACAGAGTGAAAATGACTCTACAGCCTCAGTTGTGTGTATCTGTTTCTATAGATTTCTGAGGTAAATAACTTTCAGCAATAAAAGTGCTGGGAGATATGAGGTCTGCTTCTCACAGAGGTGTCTGTGCCATTCAGTGCATCTAATGCTTCCTTGACAAAGACAGCCCTCTGCTTACTGTATGTTGCTGTTTTCTGGGTTTCTTTCTCCTTGTTAAGGTACCCAAATCTAAATATTGCAGCAGCCCTGGGGCAGTTGCAATAGAGCTGTATAGAAAGTCATTGTCCCCTTATTTTATCTGATGCTTGTTTCAGGTATAACATGGGTGCTGGTTTACAGAACAGAGAAATACAAGAGACTGAAAGCTGAAGTGGAAAAACAAAGCAAAAAATGTAAGTGTTGCCTTTCAAACACCATACATACTATGGCTGTTCTTGTCTTCTCATTGTTTTCTGCTCCAGGATTTTTCAAAGTAGGGTCTGCTCTTGGCAAGAGGTGCCTGCTGTTTGTTCCCGAGGGTCCCTACTTCACCATAGAATACTTGGGAGCTATAAACATGACTACTGCCATTCTGGTCTGAGGGAGCCAGCCCCTAGCTTTATCCTTTTTTGTCCTTCACTGGAAGGAGAAGGGTTAGTACTGAGACCTGTCCTGATGTTAATTCCACCCCCTACCTAACTTCCACTGAAGAATGGGGGGAACAGAGATGGGTGTAAGCCTCTCTTTCCTTAGCACGGTTAGCCAGTGGTTATGTATATAGATTCCACCAGCTGCACTGAGGTGAGCTTAGGGATCCTGCCTGTGCTCTTTGAGAGGGACTCCAGATCTGGGGAGGAAAGAGCAGGAGGCGTTACTGAAAAGAGGAAGAATCGTGGTTAGCTGAATGGTATGAGAGACTATGGAGGAATAGATAAGGAGTGAGATTAAAGGTGCCAGAGGAGAATGAGGGAGGATGATTTTTGTGGTAGGAGGGGAAAAAGTGAGGGAAGAAAGAAGACCTTATACATACACATACAGAAGTTGCATGAGTTTAAACTGTTTTTTAAACTGATTGCACCAGTTTAAGTACAACCTCTCTATATAAAATGATCCTGAAAGGACTTGGAGAAGGGTGGAGGGAGTACAATGCAGTAAAAAGAGCAAAGGAAATGAAGGATGGAGATAGAGGGAAGAAGATAGAGAGGTGGAGGAAGAGTTGGAAGATCTATGGTATAAGGTAAAAGTGGAGCGCAAAAGCATCAATAGAAATAAGTGAAGTAAGGGATTTAAGCAAGTGACAGCTAGACAGAAGATCGGCTTGGCTTCTGTCTCCCTCTCTCCTGAGCCTTCAGGAGAAGACCAGTTGGAATCATAGAGTCATAGAAGATTAGGATTGGAAGAGACCTCAGGAGGTCATGTAGTCCAATCCCCTGCTCAAAGCAGGACCAACCCAACTAAATCATCCCACCCAGGGCTTTGTCAAGGTGGGCCTTAAAAACCTCTAAGGATGGAGATACCACCACCTCCCTAGGTAACCCATTCCAGGGCTTCACCACCCTCCTAGTGAAATAGTGTTTCCTAACACCCAACCGAGACCTCCCCCACTTCAACTTGAGACCATTGTTCCTTGTTCTGTCATCTGCCACCACTGAGAACAGCTGAGCTCCATCCTCTTTGGAACCCCCCTTTAGGTAGTTGAAGGCTGCTATCAAATCCCCCCTCACTCTTCTTTTCTGCAGACTAAACAAGCCCAGTTCCCTCAGCCTCTCCTTGTAAGTCATGTGCCCCAGCCCCTCCACTCAACTCTCTCCAATTTGTCCACATCCTTTCTGTAGTGGGGGGCCCAAAACTGGACGCAGTCCTCCAGATGTGGCCTCACCAGTGCCGAATAGAGGGGAATAATCACTTCCCTCTATCTGCTGGCAATGCTCCTACTAATGCAGCCCAATATGCCGTTAGCCTTCTTGGCAACAAGGGCACACTGCTGACTCATATCCAGCTTCTCTTCCACTGTAATCCCCAGGTCCTTTTCTGCAGAACTGCTGCTTAGCCAGTCAGTCCCCAGCCTGTAGCAGTGCATGGGATTCTTCCATCCTAAGTGCAGGACTCTGCACTTGTCTTTGTTGAACCTCATCAGATTCCTTTTGGCCCAATCCTCCAATTTGTCTAGGTCACTCTGGACCCTACCCCTACCCTCCAGCGTATCTACCTCTCCCGCCCCCAGCTTAGTGTCATCTGCAAACTTGCTGAGGGTGCAATCCATCATCCAGATCATTAATAAAGATGTTGAACAAAACCGGTCCCAGGGCCAACCCCTGGGGCACTCCACTTGATACCGGCTGCCAATAAGACATTGAACCATTGATCGCTACCCGTTGAGCCCGACAATCTAGCCAGCTTCCTATCCACCTTATAGTCCATTCATCCAATCCATACTTTTTCCTGGCATATAAGACAGCGCAGAGTAGCTAAGTCTAAAACCTACTAGTATAAGTTATGAAAGCAACTGAAACCCCAGCAGAGGGTTTAGAGCAGGAGTGGGCAAACATTTTGGCCTGAGGACCACATCGGGGTATGGAAATTGTATGGCGGCCCATGAATGCTCACGAAATTGGGAGTAGGGGTGAGGGCTCCGGCTGGGGGTGCAGGCTCTGGAGTGGGGCCAGAAATGAGGAGTTCATGGTGCGGGCTGGGGCAGGGGGTTGGGTTGGAGGGGGGGTGAGGGCTCTGGCTGTGGGTGCAGGCTCTGGGGTGGGGCTGGGGATGAGGAGTTTGGGGTGTAGGAGGATGCTCCAGGCTGGGACCGAGGAATTCGGAGGCCAAGAGGGGGATCAGGGCTGGGGTACTGTGTGTGTGTGTCAGGGTTCTGGCTGGGGGTGCAGGCTCTGGGCTGGGGCTTGGGCTGCAGGAGGGTGCTCTGGGCTGGGACCAAGGGGTTTGGGAGGTGGGAGGAGGATCAGGGCTGGGCCTTGGGGGGGTGGGGTAGGCTCTCGGGTGCAGGCTCTGGGCGGTGCTTACCTCAAGCAGCTCCAGGAAGCATGTCACCCCTCTTGCTCCTATGCAGAGGCACAGCCAGCCCAATGGGAGCTGCGGGGGTGGCGCCTGCGGATGGGACAGAGTGCAAAGCCGCCTGGCCGTGCCTCCTCATGCTACATAGGAGCTGGCGAGGGGTCATGCCGGCTGCTTCCCGGAAGCCCCGCGGAGTGGGGCAAGCCCCCGACCCCGTTCCCTGGCTGGAGCGCCGGAGTGGAGCAAGCCCCCAACCCTGCTCCCCAGCGGGAGCTGAGGGCTGGATTAAAAGGTCTGATGGGCCGGATGTGGCCCGCGGGGCCTAGTTTGCCCACCCCGGGTTTAGAGTTAATGTGCTACTCGTTTGGGTGCTGTAGAACTTATAAGCAGCTGGTATAGATTAATCTCTGCTGTTTAATGATTGCTGTAGAGCAGGGGTGGCCAACCTGTGGCTCTGGAGCCACATGCGGCTCCTCAGAAGTTAATATGTGGCTCCTTGTATAGGCACCGACGCCGGGGCTGGAGCTACAGGCGCCAACTTTCCAATATGCCGGGGGGACTTCACTGCTCAACCTCTGGCTCTGCTACAGGCCCTGACCCCACTCCATCCCTTCCTGCCCCCTCCCCTGAGAGTGCCCTGCCCTCGCTCCTCCCCCTCCCCACCCCAGAGCCTCCTGCACAACATGAAACAGTTGATCAGGAGGTGCAGCGAGGGAAGGGGAGGCGCAGATTGGTGGGGCTGCCGGTGGGCGGGAGATGCTGGGAGTGGGGGGAGAGGGGTGTGTGGAGCTGATGCGGGGCTGCTGACATGTTACTGTGGCTCTTTGGCAATGTACGTTGGTAAATTCTGGCTTCTTCTCAGGCTCAGGTTGGCCACCCCTGCTGTAGATACTTTACTCTGATTATTTTGTAATTCCTCCTATCTCTGGTTTGTGTTTCCATGAAGAGCCAGATGTGAGGTGCATACACCAGTAATAATTGCTAACGTTAATGCTTGTGAGTTCGAGCTTGAGTGGCAGAGTTGAGAATAACAAATATTAGCTACAATTTCAGATTTGATTAGCATTTATTAATCATAATTTATCCACATATCCGTTTTAAAAGGAGCACTTATCTGTCCTTTGACAATTCTTAAATATACAACTGTAAAATAGACCACTCCTGCCACGCCTTTCAACCATTTGTCAATGTACCCACAGCAACAACCAATAAAACAGCACAAAAAAACCCCCCACCATGGATAAGATCACTAGGCTCCTCTGCCAGAGCCTTGCCATTCTATCACAGCTACAGAAAACAAATGGGTCTTGAAAGTGAATAAACTAGGGCTGTTAGACTGGGGGAGTGTTTATAATTTAATCTCTCAACAAAAACATACTCGTGGTATATGGCACAGCCATGTCTCAAAACTCAGTGAGCCTGAAAGTTTCAGGATAGATGTCTGATTGTTATCTGGCAATGGAAGAAGTTGCAAGACTGAAGCGTGGTTATAGTGAGAATAAAAATGATGTTGTGCCACTTTATTTACCCCTAGTGACCTTTCTGAGCAAACTTGCTCAGTTTATGTCACCCTTGCATAATCCTACTGGCCTGCTTGCTTGAGGTGTGTGATTTAGTTTATGGATAAGTAAACTTCACCAATAACATTTCATCAGCAGCATTGTGGTAAAAGCAGATGAGTAGGTTTGTGCCTGGGCTGTTCATTTTTTGACAATTGTGCAAGGTTGGCTTATGAGTCATAAGAATTTTATCTGTTAGCACCACTTATTCTCCTGTGATCTGGAAATTTAGCTGTAGTCTTTCTGTCTTGGTTATCACCAGGATTAAAATTTCTGCCATTAAAACTGAACTGATATACTAATATGTGAGACAGAAGTCTTCAGCGCCGACACTATGGGACAACAGGAGTGAAAATGGGTTTGTTGGTAAAGTAGATATACAGATGTGCCGTTGAAAAAAGGCGATCAATATCACTTATCTTATCATAACCGTACTTTAACATTTATCATCCCATTTTCGTATTGTGATATTGGCTATGTAAACCTGAAACTAAAACTTGGCTTTCACTTTCTGGGAATGTCAATCAAATTTCTCTGCTATTGGACGTGATTCCATTTGCAGATTGAAAAGTATAGTTGCTGGATCACAGTCTCAACTGATCAGCACTCTGGCTTGTGACTGTCTGGCTTTGCTTGGAGCAATCTGTGGAGTGTCTACTGTCTGGATTGGTTGTGTTACTTGGTTTTCTGGTAGCTTTGATAACTAAGTTTAGACTTGTTACTTAATTTTTAACTTCAAAATATTGGAAATATTTCAGCCCTAATTGGATGACCAGCAAGAATGGAGCTGGCTGTGCGAGACCGCTGGCGCAGCACTTGCACTGAGAATGCCTGCCTGTGAAGAAGGGATATAACAGAACACAGGCCTTTCTGTGTTCTGCTTCCCACTGCAGATAGCTAGGATCAGAGTTTCCCATAAAGCTTGTTTCATCACACTTGTTGAATTGAAAGTACTGTCTAGAATTCATAATGACAAATCAGCAAGGTCTGTTTAAACCAAAATGATACTCAAGCTCCTTGGTTCACAGTGTAATGGGCTCCTTTGGCAGGCTTTAAAAGTCTGGCTTTTGACAGGGATTGAAATTGTTCTTTTCCTCATCTAGGATCAGGGCCTGGAAAATATTCCTGGGCTTGTAAACATTTGTATCAGTCCAGCTCTGGCAGGTTATAAGACATTGAACATATATCATAGACATATATCTGTATCTTGCTTCCTTCCTCCTCCTCCTGTCTGCATGAGGGTTTTGGGTGTAAGGGAGAGGAAAAGAGAAGGGATTAGTAGCATAACTCTTCATTGTTTGTGTGAAAGTGATTCTATATTGTCTTTGCCCTTTGTAGTGGAAAAGAAGAAGGAAACGATAACTGAATCAGCAGGCCGACAGCAAAAAAAGAAAATAGGTAAGATTTGGGGAGGGGGGAGGTGTGGTGCTCCAAAAGTGAGCGGGGGGCTGTGAGAAGAAGCTGCTGGAGGTGACTTTCCCTTTTCTTCCACCCCCCATCCCCCCTTAAAACTTTAACACTTTATTTGGGGATGGGAGGAGACTTTGTTCTTGATGGGATGGCTAGAATGTGACTTTCTCTTCTTCCCTGTGGACTGTTGGAGCCTATTTCAAGGGAACTAGCCTCTTCCCTTCTAGATTGACTTTAGGCAAACCCAGTGGCACTGGGATTCCAATGCCCGCTGCTGCATAAGCGGGACTGGTCACATGGACCCAGACCAAGTAGTCTTTTAGCCTTAACTGTTCCCAGATGTTATCCCTGAGAGCTCATTGCTGCAATGCTTTATCGCCATGCAATAACTGTGGGACTATCGGAATACATGTTAGCGTTTGTGGTCCCAGATTGGATGAAACCTATCTTTTTAGAGGTTAGATTTTTCATTTTTTCCTCATAGCATGACTGTAGGATGGAGTGAAGGGTGTATGGGTGTCGTAACGGCATCTTTATATCTAAATGTGGTCAGATTTCTTTCAAACTTGGCCTCAGCTGCGTTTGTAGCATTTGTTTTGGGGATAATTACAACATTCCTTTAATGTGTCTTTTCCTTTAAGTTACTGATGTATACTCCTTAACTCCAGTTCAACATAATGTTTTGTCTGGGGATATGTGAGAGAAAATGTGTTTAGAATGGCCACATTACTCTCAAATGTTAAAGCCATGAGTGAGTGATGCAGAGCAACCAGTTGAATTGTTACAGAAAATTTATCAGTAACATCCTAGACAGATACAAAACTTATTGGGACTGTATTTTCATTCCTCTTCCTGTAAAACAAGGTGTCTTCCTTATAATAAGTTCTGTATGAGGCCCAGAATAGCTATAATGATTTAAAATAGCTTTTCCTACATATAAACCTGGTGATCTCTGGACTTCTCCTAGGTGCAGAGCCTTAATTCCTTTCCTTTTCACGTGTGCATTATGATACAGGCCTTAATTACACAAGCACATCTCTTTCCCACAGAATCAGTGGGAAATTCAGTGCATAGGATGGAAGGTGCTTAGTGAAAGAGGAAGCTTTTTGCTATTCCTTCTTATCCTCATTATTCAGTGTGGACTCATACTTTATTTACAGCTAACTATCCAAATCCTACTGTGACCAAGGAATGTCTTATTTCCCTTTGGACTTCTCACCTATTCATCACTTGAGTATGAGTGCCTCACTAGCACTAATGAAGTTATTTTTACAATGCCCTTTTGAGCTAGTGAAGTGTTAACTGGAGTCATAAAGCAAGCCTGGGAAATTCTAGCCTAAATGGTTTGTTTGATAAAGTTATAAGTGGGCTTGGAAGGATTAGATATTTATTGGTAAATGTTTGTAAATGTCAATTTCATTGTACACACAAACTGAAAAAATATTTCCATCTATGATTGAAGTTTAGATCGGCAAAGTAAGAAAAATGCTTCTTGAGACCTTTTATTAGAGTCAAAATCCACCGATTTAGACTTTTGAATTAGGCTTCTTACAAATGGACTTGTGAATGAATAATAAAAAGAGAGATCGTTTGTGGATTCAAGGATATTTATTTTGTATATTTTCACATGTGATGTTGACTGTGTTAATGGTTATAAAGAATTAACTTTTTGAATCTGTGTCTAGTCATAATTGTCTGACCCCCCCCCACCCCCCAACTGAACATTTAAATGGTTAAATCTAAAAAGCTTAAAAATAAACATCAATATTGTCTGTCAAAATTATTTTTTAAAATTTGAATATTGTTATTTCTAGTTATGAGAAACAGGGAGGGGCGGGTTAGAAGAGTTACTATTGCTTCACCAAACACTTCCCATTGTAACCCTCTATATTCAGCTGCTTATAACTTTGGTGTTTGAAGGACTCTCCTGGTGCTACTCACAGCAACAGTGCTTTAGGGCCCATCTGTTGTGTTGATACCCCCATATAGAGATGCTGGACTCCCAGAAACCTTGCACTGCCACAGACTACTTCCCCAGGCCTCACTCACATTCCCTTTCCAATATCTCTTGTGGTTTTCCACATTCCTATTCAACCCCATATCTGTGGCTTTTCCAGGCTGCCTCTGGATCTTTAGCCACTGAGAGGATCAGGACTGGCGAGATGGGGCAGTGGAAATAGCAGATGGAACATGACTGTTCCATTGGCTGACCTTGACATAGCACAAAACAGCTCTCCTGAATAAGGGAAATGGAAATAAAAATAACTTTTTTAAAAAAAAAAATTGAAGTGGCCTTTGCATGAGATGTGTGAAACTTGGAGTTTGTGGTGACTGAAATGGCAGGGGCAACGCAGCGCAATGTTTCCAAAAGGAGTATCCTAAAGTGTTCTGTTCAGAAAGCTAGTATACATATTTTACTTAAATATTGCATAGAAAATCCAATCTTTGTATGAATGGTTCCTTAGGCTTTTGAAGTGTGAAACAGTAGGATTTTTGTCCTACTTTAAGTGCAGCTTTGGTGATCTGACCTTGGAATCCCTACAGACACCTCTGTAATGAAGTATGAGTTAACATATGTAGTGCATTTGCTTACAGCAGTGGTTTTCAAACTTTTTTTCTGGTGACCCAGTTGAAGAAAATTGTTGATGCCTGCGACCCAACGGAGCTGGGGACGAGAGGTTTGGGGTGTGGGAGGGGCTCAGGGCCGGTGCAGAGGTGAGGGCTGCAGGGTGAGGCTGAGGATGAGGGGTTTAGGGTGCAGGAGGGGGCTCCAGATTTGGGGGGGGCTCAGGGCTAGGGCAGGGGGTTGGGCTGTGGGAGGGGATCAGCATTCTGGGCTGGGGTGCAGGCTCTGGGGTGGGGCCAGGAATGAGGGGTTTGGGGTGCAGGAGGGGACTCTGGGTTTGGGGAGCTCAGGGCTGGGGCAGGAGGCTGGGGTGCAGAAGGGGGTCAGGGCTCTGGGCTGGGGGTGCAGGATTGGGTGGGGCTGGGGATAAGGGGTTTGGTGTGCAGGCAGGGGCTCCGGGTTTGGGGGAGGGGCTCAGGGCTGGGGCAAGGGATTGGGTTGTGGGGCAGGCTCCCCTCGGGCGGCTCCCGGTCAGCGGCGCAGCAGGGGTGCCAAGGCAGGCTTCCTGCCTGTCCTGGCACCGAGGACCGCACTGTGTCCCGGAAGTGGCCAGCAGCAGGTCCGGCTCCTAGGCGGAGGCACAAGCAGCTCCGCGCAGCTCTTGCCCACAGGCACCACCCTCCCCCAGATCCCAGCCAATGAGAGTGCGGAGCTGGTGTTCGGGGGTAGGGAGCAGTGTGTGGAGCCCTGTGGCCTCCCCCGCCTAGGAGCTGGACCTGCTGCTGGGTGCTTCCGGTGCACAGCGCGGTGTCAGAACAAGTAGGGACTAGCCTGCCTTAGCCAGGCAGCACTGCTGATGGGACTTTTAATGGCCCGGTTGGTGGTGCTGACCAGAGCCGCCGTGACCCAGTGCCTTACATTCCGTGACCCAGTACTGGGTCGCAACCCGCAGTTTGAAAACCACTGCCTTACAGTAATAAGATTTGATATGCAAATAACATTCTTAGAACAACACTACTTCCAGAATAAAATATGCTGACACTACCTGATTTTTACAAGCACTATTTGATTTTCCAGTTGACATGTCCGTATGTCGTCATGCCCATTGTCTGAGTTGTTGTGCATTGCCTTTGAATGTTGACAAACCTCATATACTTGTTCTGCTGCATATTGTTCCGATTCAAGGACAGTTGGCTGTGTGCAGTTTTCACACTGTAATGTCTGGCATACAGAGCTGGAGTCTGTCTTGGAACTATTACTGGCTTGGATAGCAAGGAAGGTTTAGGCTTGAAAGTGAAATCATTCTGGTGTCTGGGTTGGTATAACCTCTATTCTCTTTCCTGCTTTACAGAGAGGCAAGAGGAGAAGCTGAAGAACAACAACAGGGACCTGTCGATGGTAAGAATGTTGTAAATTAGGGGCAATGCCCAAACTAGTGAAGGGCTAGATCTTGAGCTCTCCAGGAGGTGAAGGATCACCCTTAATTTCTATACTCTAAAGCACAGATCGTAGGTGCTCATATTCACATATCTCCATGGGCTGCACTTCTGACATCTGCAAGCTACAGTGTGGCTCTGAGTTCTACACTAGTCGCCCCTTCACTCCACACATAGCTTCATTAATTCTCATTCCCCTCCGCCCCCACAATCTCTCTAGTGCTTCCAAAATAAAAGCAGTTTTCCTGACTTTCCACTTACCCACCCCATCTTCCTAGTGAGCCCACTGCATTTGTTGTTTCCCTTCCGTCCTCACAGTTCCTGTGGACTCCCCTTTCTTTATGAGTGGTCAACCTCTTGGTTAACAGGACAGCCCTGAGCGCTCCCTTTCCTCCATAGGCTCTTCGCCCCTATGATCCCTCTCATGGCTGTTCCAGTACTCGTAGCTATTCAACCCTTCTAAGAGTTTTCTGCCTGGTCTCCTCTCCTACAAGCTGAGAGAGTGAGCTGAAAGATTGCCTTCTTTTCTGATCCTGACGATGATGCACAAAACCCATTATTCAGCATTAAAGCCCTCAAGCCCTAACTGTGGGACTTGCCTTTATTTTTAATCTGTTTGTTTCTCTCTGCATTAGCTGTCAATAATGAATGACTCTGACCTCTCTGGTTGCAGGTTCGAATGAAGTCCATGTTTGCAATTGGCTTTTGCTTTACTGCCCTCATGGGCATGTTCAACTCCATGTAAGTATCAACTCTCTCTGCCCCCCCCCCCCCCCCACCCTCCGAGCCTTCAAAGTGAATGTATCCCATTCCCTCTCTCCTTTGCTACTTGGACTCATTCTAATGATGTTCATGGGGTCCCACTGAGAACTGCACCTAATTTGTATAAAATGGATCAAACTGCAGCTTTCCTCCTCTTCGATATGGAGGTGCAGCCTGCGAATCTGCAGGTCACAGCACTCATTGCTTCTGCTCAGCTCAGCATGGAGCATTGCATGCAGGGATTCTCTAGGCTGCACTTTAGCCACAGCTGAGCATGCTTGCTGTTCTGGAATATATGACCAGGATGAAAGTCTGGCTAATTCAGAATAGCTTTGCAGAGATCAGGCAGCCTTCCACAGTCTTCAGACCTTTCTATCACAGCTGCATCGGCTGCTTCATTGCTTTCTAAAGCAGTAGTCTGGGTTTTGTTTTTTTGTTTTTTTCCAGAAGCTGAGATGCTTAAAGAAAAAAAGATTTTGGAATTGACTAGGGTATTTATATAAGCTCTACTTTTCATATGGTTATATGTCTAAATAATACTGTCAGAATACCCCCAAAAACAAACAAAAAAATGCTGGGGGATTTTTGTCCACAATGATTGTGACAGTAGTCCCATGGTTGGCCTCTGGATTTGTGGATGTCTCAAACTTAACTGGTCATTCAAACAAATCTACCCCGCCCTGCTTATTTGCTCGTGTTGTCACCTTCCCCATCACCAGTAATGCCATCCTCAGTTCCTTATTTGTCCACCTATCCCACAACCATCTTTGTGGTTTCTTCTGTGCAGCCGTTTGTATGGAACACCCTCTCTGAACTGGACCATAAAGACACTTTCCAGTCCCTCCTCAAGTCCCAACTCTGCCATGATGCTTATATGAAACTTAAAGGCTGCATCAAGAGCCACTGAGGGGGATACTTGATGTACTTTGGGAAGGGTGAATGCAGCTTGTCTCAGATGTGCGCTCTTCAGGTTAGGAAATCTCACTATATTTAGACAGTACCTAGTATATTGTGGGTGCTCTGTGATACAAATAATTTATATGAAGGGACACTTCCTGCAGTTGGTGAAGTGAAGCAAAGTCCAGCCCTTTGTATTAGGGTCTGGGCATAAATGCCAGCACTTAAAAATGTTCTGCCGATGACAGTTCTTTGTTGTACTAAGGTCAGTTATAGTGCAGCTTTAGGTGCAGAACCAGTGGGGGTCCCTCCCCACTGAAGAGTCTGCCATTTCGTGTTGTCTTCACAGCAGCAGGCAGACAGGTCTATGCCGCCCCGCTGTAGAGCTTTAACAAAAGCACCCTTCCTTCCATAGTGTCTACTTTGGCCCCAAATTTTCCAGCAGTGCATTTGCAGGACAAAGTATGTGCTTCTTTCCCTGATTGCTGAAGAACACTAGAGGCTGGAGCCCTTGTTCATCCACCGGGAGTTCAGTATGTTGGGCAAAGAGAGAGGCAGAAATATATACTTTGTACCATTCCCCTCACTGAGGCACTCAGTAGGGATCTGCGTCTTTTGAAGGGCCCAGGTTATGCTTACAAGCAGCTCATTCTGGGTGAGGGTTGTTCTGACCCTTATCTGTAGGGAAGGAAAAGTCCCTGGGAGGTGCAGACAAACAAGCACAATTAGAGAAACAGTCAACCATCTGGAACCACCCCCTGCTCCTCCTATACATAGTTGGAAACTGCACTACAAGGCCAGCGTTCTGCATCCACCTGGCAGAAGCAGTTGTGTTCTGTGTGCTTTGCTTTACGGAGGGCCTTGGATTGTGGTCCCAATTCTCTCTCTCTCCTTCTCTCTCTCCCCCACCTCTGTGTGCAGGGGTTCCATGTTTGTCCAGCTGCTAAAACTACTTTTGAAGGTTCTTACAACTATGTATCATTCCATCCTAGAACCTACTGATGCTTGTGATTAAACTTTCATTCTTGGTGGCCATCTTCTCAGTCTCTGGAGTACAGTCTGCTACCGCCAGCTTCCCCTATTAGAAGTTGGGCCTCACTCAGTCTTGACTTTTAAAATTATCTTCTTTTTTTTAAAAAAAAAAAAAGTCTAAATCATGCCATGTTGCTGTCTGTTTTCTAAAACTATCGCAGGAAGGTGAAGCTGCCCATCCTAGATGTCACATCCCAGATGTCCAGAGAGCTCCGTTATTATTTAAACAGGACTAACCCTTTTAGCAAGTCCAAGAGACTCTATGGCACTTAAAGAAAAATCTAAAGGTTTGACAGTTTTGGCTTAATGGCAATCTAAGTGGCTAAGACTGTGCTTCCAGTCTTATGAGCTGGCTAGTGTACCTGTGTGTGAAGGGCAGCTTCAGTGACTTGTGTCAGTGCCATGCCCTCATCTGAAATCTGTAGGGCTGTTTGGGGAGGAGGGAGAGAGCTGGTTGACACCTTCACCAATTGCTGTTCTCTTGACGTGGTATCAAGAAGAGATGTTGGTTGCAGAAGAACAGTGTTCAATCACTGTTTAGCTGGGCTCCTCAGGCCACTTCCTGGGAGGTCATGGCTACCTAGCCACCTACAGAGGTGCTCTGGATTCAGGGTTGGGAAGGAGAAAAGGAGATTGCTTGTGCTTGGAACAAGAGTCAGTGTATTGCTTCATTCACCCACTTCTTTCCCCCCCACTGCTGGAGAGCCCAAGGCCTAAAGTTTTGGGGGAGAGGGACTATAGGTTGTCTGGAGTGAGCATGCTGTGTATACCTTTGGACAATAGAATGTAGGTTGGCCATGTACCCCTTCTGTCAGCTACTGCCTAAAAGCCATGGCCATACAGTTAGGCATATGACTCCTACAGAGAGGCTTTGTACATGCAACATATATATACAGAGAACGGTAACTAGCCCCTTTCTTGCTGTTTGAAAATGGGAGCTGTAATACACGGTACAGGGATGGGAGGGACAGGTGCAGGAAGGCTGGCTTGAACACTAAAAGCAGAATGCCAGGTTGAGGATCTAGCATGAGGATCCTGATTATCCATTCAGGGCAATCTCTTTGTAGGTTGGTGGGATCCAGGCAAAATGTATGTCTGCTAGGGGTAGGGCGATCTGCAGGTGAATACTAGACTGGGATCCAGGCAGATAGGGGTATCTAGTGAGAGAAGTTACCTTGGTTCTCTCTGGACATTAACATCTTACTCATAAGTCCTGATCCATGCTTAAAGCATCAAACCTTACAGAATTCCCTACAAGAGTGTGCCTTAAAACCTAGGTCACCTGCCAGAAGAGAAGGTAGGTACCTCAGGGTATCACCTCTGAGCTAGTCTATGTTCCCACAGTAGGAGTAACGCAGAATCCTAAAACACTGGGGATGTTACAGGGAGACAAACATCCGTTCCTAGCCCTACTGCCAAACTGCCTGTGAGATGTCGGCACATGTTAGAACCATAGCTCTGTGTGAATGCCTCTCCACAGGAAAGAATGCTCATTTAGGAGCTCTTGAAACCAGAAACACCTGTTAGAAAATCAGCACTCAAGGAGAAAATAACATCAAACTCTGAGCATACACTGATGCAGCATGATATGCACACTGCTTCAAAGGGTAGTGTTGGCTGTCTGGTTTCAGAGGCTGAATCTCTTCAGTCTGTCCAAATTCACACCATGTCTCCATCTCTGGAATGTAGTACTGAATGCTTCCCATCTCCTGGAGCTGCACAGGTACCTTGGGGGAATATACAATGTCCCCTGCTTTTGAAGAGCGAATGCAGAGAAGGAGTATTGTATGAAAAGGAATTCTCTTCGTGGCGGTTGCCCACATCCCTTTTGGTAACTGATAAATGTAGCAAATCTGGAGAGAAAAAAAAAGAGTTGGACTTTGTTTTGTCTTCTGAAGCTGAGCACACACCTCTAGTACAAAAATCCATGAGTCTGCATAAAGTAACTGTATTACAACAGGCTGGTAATTCAGTCTCTTGACTCAAGTGTTACAGTACTCTGGGAGAAACCTATGTGTCACTTGGCTTTTAAATAGCAGGTGTCAGTACTTGAGGATGTTGATTAGAAAGTTCTTAGTCTGTGTCCCACAAACCTTGATCAGCAATTTATCCAACCAGTAATCGTTAATAGGTTGACCTCCAGGAGGGACCCCTTGTCATTCCACAGCATCTGCTGAGGGAAGCCTGCACAGTCCATCCAGTGGATGGCAGGCCACTTTGATATGCAGGGGCTTGAGGATGGCAGGTGTGTATATATTAGTCTCTCTAGTATTGTGCATGTGAAGGTGGGGCAACATTTTTCTGGGCTTTTGACTTGATCTTCCATCTGGTTTTGTCCTCTTGGAGGCCTGTTTCATTTAAAACACTTAATCTGTTTTTCTGCAATCCAGGGACCCAATTACTGTCCCAGACTGAAGCCCTTCTCTAGGCTGGGTACTTGGTTGACGTCTCACATTAAGTGATCTCTTCTCTTTCAGATTTGACGGCCGAGTGGTGGCAAAACTTCCTTTTATCCCCCTCTCCTATATCCAGGGCCTGTCCCATCGCAACCTGCTCGGGGAGGATTACACTGACTGCTCCTTCATCTTCCTCTACATTCTCTGCACCATGTCTATCCGACAGGTGAGTGCTGAGCTGCTTCCTATGGGTGGGGAATGGGGCAGGTATTGATCTGCCACCCAGTAAGGAGTAGCAAGCGCCCAATAACCAATTTAGCACATGTAGTCTGTCTTTGATCTACGTTTGTTTGAAGCTTTCATGTTGACCTCTGGTTCCCATAGGCTTAGCTGTCAAAGGAAATGTAGTGCAGAAAAGTCTCACTTTGTAGGAGGTCTTCTCTCAGCCCATGGGGGGGAGACCTGGCTAAAATCAGCAGGATTACTCCAGGACATTCAGACTGAGCCAGTGGAAATAGCTTCCACCCTGCTATGTGTCTCCATGTAACTTTGTGGCTTGACAGGATCGTTGTTGGCAAAGAACAAGTTGCATGATTCACTGACTTCACTGCAGGCTTCAGAAGATGCCTGGATTGCTAAGAAAAAGTCCTTACTAAAAACCTGTCAGTGCAGTCATATCAGAAAGAAAAACACTCCTTCTTTAGTGTACCCTGAGGTCATGTCTACACTGCATGTGGAAGTGAGCCATCTAGCCCAAATTCTCAGATTCATGGTAGTGGGACTTGTGCTAGCACTCTAAAAATGGTTCTGTGTAGATGTTGTGGCTCAGGCTCTGAAGCCAGCGGGGTGGGCTTGAGACCCTGAGCTGCAACATCAAAGCACGATCTACATGCTATTTTTAGAGCATTAGCCTGAGCCCTGCCAGCACAAGTCTGTGGACACAGGCTGGGACGCTCATTCCCAGATGCAATGTAGCCTTAATGTAAGCTGCCTTTGTGCTCCAAAAGGCTCAATTTGTGTCCAAAAAATCTGCTGAGGCAGCAAGGAAGTCTGGGGTCAAACCTGCATTTTTCTCAAGTGCCTTATTCTCTTCCCTCCCCTTGCCTGCTTAATACATGACTCTCTCTGAAGGCTGAATAGCTTTCCCTTCAGAGTATTGTCTATTCCCAATCACCAGTGGGTGAAGTAATTTATAGAATCGGGGTCTGGTGTGACAAAATGCAAGGCCACGTTAGAGAACACTGTTAAGAATTTACCACCATGGTGGACTGTGACCCATACACAGGCCCTTCTGCTACAAGGGAGAACTGCTGGCCCTGAAAATGGGAAGTTTCTTTGTGGTTGAGAATAGCTTGCCACAGTGATGCCATCATTTTATCAGCTGCAATGCACTGAAGCAGGGATAACGGTGAAGTAGCTGTTTAACTGACAGTGGATCTGCTATTAGCACATGACTAGGTTGGATGGAGTGTCAGTCTGTGTTGGTGAGGACCAGTGGGACTTGAGTGCTGCTGAAAGTGTGTTCTGCTTGTTGATTTTCCTCCAGGGAGTGGTGAGAGGCTAATAGACTCTGGAAGCTGGATTAATGCTGATGCACTTAGATGGTTCTCTATTTTTATCTTTCCTCTTGCTTTGGTTCACTTCCTGAATGCTTGCTGCTTATTTCTCCTTGATCTGCAGATCTCTGTTGCTTTTTCCTCTGGAGGTGCCAAGGGACTTAGAAACCCTTACAGCAGGTCAGCAGAGGAAATGACTCTTGTGCCAACTTCTAACAGAGGGGTCAGGATGGGCTTGGTGAAGTGGCTCAATAGAATGAAAGCTCCTTTACCCCAGAATAAGTGCATGGATCAAACAGATTCTCTCCCTCCTTCCACAGCAGGATCCTTCATTAAATCAGATCTGTGTCCAGTCTTGTGTAAAGGAACAAGGCAAACAAATTAGCAAAAGCCATCAAGTCCACCGACCCCTTATTAAATGCTCTCAGCACAGCAGGTCTTGTCAAGTGCTCTTTCCCTGGCCTGGAACTAGAACAGCAGGTGCTGTTGTGTGCTGAGGGGTTTGTCTAGTTTTTGTGGTTTCTGTGTCACCCACTGGGAAGCTTTTGTGTTGTTTCTACAGTGACTGCCCCCCAGTGAATCTCTCACCAGATAGCAAGTGCCTTGCAGGGGAAACTCTCCTTGCCACCAATTTGTGTTACAATGTGGCTCTACGCCTTTCTAGTCTAACACAATAGACTTTCTTTTGCACCCTTGAAAGGCCACGAGTAGTGAGAGTGAAACTCAGATTGTGCTGGCTGCTGCATGTCTGCTCTGCACCAGTTGGATACTTGGGGAATTCAGTGGCTGAAAAATCCCAAGTGGCTTTTTTGTAAGTTTTTAAAATAAAAAATTCCCATGGTAAATTCCAGTTTTGACTATTTCCTGCTGTCACCTTCTGCAATGAAACAGACTAGAAGCAGCACGAAATGAATGGCTAGGCATAAACACTCAGGTTTTCAATGCTAGGTGTTCAGCTTGTTCAGTCCAACAAGCCTTCAATAGAAAATTCCAGTAAGGGTCTTTACTTGTGACAGAGAGTCCCTGTTAATGGCCTGGTGGGGGGAGTAGCACCATTGCCTTGGAAAGGGTTTTTCAGCTGTGTAGCTTCATATGCTGCAGCCTCTCTAGTTTAACACTTTTTTTTATTCCCTGTAGAACTGATGTACTTTGTACTCCTAGCACTACATTAAAAGAGGTAGCTGCTCCTTTCATACTCAAGTCTTTACCTCTAAACTGTAGTTTAAACTGGCCCCCATAGAGCTGGGAGGTGGAGGAACCCCTCTACATTCCATGCGGGCAATAGCCCAAGAGAAGAGCTGCAGAGAGGTGGGGCGCTGGAATTAAATAGTGGGAGAACAGGGGAATATCCCAGAGTCCATTGTGGGGGAGCGGTGTGGGAGAGAATCCCCAGAACTCATTAAGTTGAGGCAGAGCCTGGGTTTAGTTCAGGGTGTGAGTGTGTCAATCTGCTTTGGGAGAGGACTAACTGGTGGGGATCAAGTGCTGCTGATTTAAACAGGCATTGCTTATGGGGTGGGGAGTGGTAGCACAGCTACTCTTCACCTTGAGGAAACTCCTCAAGCCATGCTCGACACCTTTTTGCCTGTGACCTGGGGCCAGCATCTCCTGAAATATCCAACTTGCAGTGAGTAACTTCCTCTGCACTGTTCCCATCTCCCCCTGCACGTAAATCCTGTCCAGTGGTTCCTCATGCCTTCCTGTTTGGAGAGAGGGCTGCTGCTGGGAGAGGCTTTCTACAGGCCATTGAGCTGCTGCCTTTCAGCTGAGGAAGTCTGCTGCTGAATTGGGTGTGATGCAGAATGTCAGTTATATCCTTTGCCCCTCCTCCTGTTAGTGCACTAACAGCCTTCACCTGTCCTGTTTATCTTGAGTAATAAACCTTTATTACACAGAGGCTTGCCAATATTTAGTTTCCTTTTCACACATGCTTGAATTTTAGACCTGTCCTCGTCCTCTACTCAAGATCTGCTCCTGGTGGGAGTGGGGGCCAGTGATTACCCCTGCAGACAGGAGAGGGAGCACATCTTTCTTTCCCACAAACTGTCCTGATTATTGTGGGGCAGGAGGTCAGTCCTGGTTAGTTTTCTTCTCCTAGGGCACTTAAAAGTTTTGCACAGAAATGACATCCATTCTCTCTGCACTGATTGTGGGATGGAAAGGATTCAAAGAAAAAGACAAGGTGGTGGGAGACTAGTGTAATACAAATGTTCTTGCTCCCCTGCTGCTTCTTTCTTCCGCTCCCATCGGTAACAGTGTGCTGCCCACAGCATCCTTTTTTAGAGAAGAAGAGTGTGTGCTATGCTGTGGGAACCCAACATGGTGCAGGCCTCCATAACACTTTTATGGCACGTCTATACTTACCTCCGGGTCCGGCGGTAAGCAATCGATCTTCTGGGATCGATTTATTGCGTCTTGTCTAGACGCGATAAATCGATCCCGGAAGTGCTCGCCGTCGACGCCGGTACTCCTGCTCCACGAGAGGAGTACGCGGAGTCGACGGGGGAGCCTGCCTGCCACGTGTGGACCCGCGGTAAGTTCGAACTAAGATACTTCGACTTCAGCTACGTTATTCACGTAGCTGAAGTTGCGTATCTTAGTTCGAAGTGTGGGGTTAGTGTGGACCAGCCCTTAGTCCCAGCATCAGTGTCTGGGACCTTCTGTGCAATTTTAACATCACTGTCTTGCAAAAATCATTTATCAGCATGATGCTAGCTACATGTCTGCTGGAGAGAGAACTCTACAATTGTGGGAAAGGAAAGGCTGGCCAGAGAGTGTGTAGTATTCGGATTGGTTATAGTTTGGCTCAGGTATAGTTGGCTCAGGTCAACATGTCTGTTTGCCTCTACTCTCATAATCCGTCCTCCCACCAGTGAGATCTGTCTGACCAGCTAGAACGTAGAGGGCTGAGTGATGACATCGACAAGAGTCGGGAGGATGCAGTGCAAGCTTCCCCTTTTGCTCTATCAGTGCACCTCAGTCCTGATCCTGCAGTACCCCCTACTGGTCAATTGAGTCCCTTTTCAATAGCTGTTCCCTTTCTTTATTACTATCTGGAGCAAATAGTACTGGGACAAGAGACACAAGATGGAGCCTCCCACAGCAAAATGTTTTTGTGTTATATACAGATCTTACTCCTAAAATGATATAACACATCTCAGTGTGTTCCCTGTCTAGCAACTATCCCACAAGTAGGAAGGTGAAGCAAGAACTTATCAATTTACTTAGGGACCTTCCACTGTGTTTAATGTTTTTGTTAGTTAAACCAGTGGTCTCCAAAGTGGGCTGCGAAAGAGGATCCTTTGGGGTGCGCGGCAGGAGGAGCGCCGCCGGAGCAGCGCCGCTTTTTTTTTTTTTTTTCCCCCCTTTGGCAGTTTGGCCGGGAGTCCGAGCGGCTTTCTCGCTCTCTCCTTCCCCCCGCCCCTCGGCAGTTCGGCCGGGAGCAGGGGGTGCGTGCTCAAAAATTTTTTACTGATGGGGTGCGCGATCAAAAAACTTTGGAGACCACTGAGTTAAACTATAGTGTACATGTATCTCATCACAGGTGGGGGTGGTAGCATCTCCTTTTATTAAAGTTCACCAGTATTTCCTGTTACAAGGCCCTATTTTTAGTTATTGATAACCTGGCCAAATTTTAACCCTTTGGGCTGAAATTTTCCATGCTATTAGTTACCTCTGGTAGTGCAAGTGGCAGAGGTCTGTGGGTTGGATCTAAAGGTTCCAACCTTGCTGATGAATCATGTGGGCATCAATATAATGCCACATGATGGAATTTTTTTTTCAGTTTGCTTTTTTAAAAACCCAGGAGATTACACACAGGTTTTTGTGTTAAAAGAACATTACTAAAGTTGCAAATCCAAGCACTCAGAAGTTAGGAAATGCCAGAATTAAGGTTGCCTGTGCATATGTGTTATGATACAGCCCAGGGATCAGCAACCTTTGGCACTCCGCCCGCCAGGGTAAGCCCCTGGCGAGCCGGGACGGTTTGTTTACCTGCAGCATCCGCAGGTTTGGCTGATTGCAGCTCCGATGGCCACCATTCCCGTAGCCCCCATTGGCTTGGAACGGTGAACCGCGGCCAGTCGGAGCTGCGATCGGCTGAACCTGCGGACACTGCAGGTAAACAAACCGGCCCAGCCTGCCAGGGGCTTTCCCTGACAGGCTGCGTGCCAAAGGTTGCCAATCCCTGATACAGCCTTTAATCACATGACCACTCGCTGTTTTTTCCACAGGACGCTGCCTCATTCAGTGAACAGGATGGACAGTGCTCACTTCATTAGCAACTACTTACCATGTTTTCGCATTGTTCAATGCGTGGCCCCAGGCCTTGGTTACTCTCACTAGTCAAACCCCGTTCTGAAGACAGAACTATTAATCTCCTCAGGGGCTTTTCTCTCATACTCAACACTACACCAGCTTTGTGCTTTAATAAACATTACTGATCTTATTTTCACAATACTCTTGTGAGATGAGGGGGTATTAGCCCCATTTTACAGATGGGTAACTGCAGCCCAGAGAGATTAAGATCAAAAGTATTCACTAATCTTAGGTGTCCAGTTTGAGATGCTGAGGACCTGATTTGCAAAGTACTTAGCATTATACGGCTTTATATGTTCAGAGCACAGCTCCCATTTACTTCAGTTGCAGCTATGATTTGCAGACATGTTGAGCACTCATAAGAACATAAGAACGGCCATACTGGGTCAGACCAATGGTCCATCTAGCCCAATATCCTGTCTCCTAACAGGGGCCAATGCTAGATCCTTCAGCATGAATGAACAGAACAGGTCACTTTATCAAGTGAGCCATCCCCTTTTGCCTAGTTCTAGCTTCTGTCAGTTGGAGGCTTTGGAACACCTAAAGCATGGGGTTGCGTCCCTGACCAGCTTTGCTAATAGTCTTTGATGGACCTATCCTCCATGCACTAATTCTTTTTTGAACCCAGTTATACTTTTGGCCTTCACAACATGTGGCAATGAGTTCCACACGCTGACTCTGTGTTGTGTGAAGAAGTACTACTTTCTTTTGTTTGTTTTAAACCTGCTGCCTATTCATTTCATGGGTGACCCCTGATTTTTGTGTTAAGTGAAGGGATAAATAACACTTTTTTTCCCCACACCATTCATGATTTTATAGATCTCTATCCTATCCCCTTAGTCATCTCTTCTAAACTGAACAGTCCCAGGTTTTTTTAATCCGTCCTCAGATGGAAGCTGTTCCATACCCCTAACTAATCCTTTTTGTTGCCCTTCTCTGTACTTTCTCCAGTTCTAATATATCCTTCTTGAGATGGTGTGATCAGAACTGCATGCAACATTCAAGGTGTGGGTGCACCATGGATTTATATAGTGTCTTATATTTTCTGTCTTCTTATCTATCCCTTTCCTAATAGTTCCTATTATTCTGTTAGCTGCTTTGACTGTTGCTGCACATCAAGCAGATGTTTTCAGAGAACTGTCCATAATTACTCCAACATCTCTTTCTTGAGTGGTAATAGCTAATTTAGACCCCATCATTTTGTATGTATGGTTGGGATTACATTTTCTGATGT